AAATTGAAAAATGAATAATACATGTATATATATATATATATGTAAGGATGAAATTCTAAATAGAAAGAGCAAAACCAAGAACAAAATACTGCTCATAAGCTCAGAGACTATAACTTTTGTATTATGATGCAATAGAAAAATGTGATTCTAGAGAAAGAGAATCACTCCACTTAATATTTTTCCCTCCACAGCAGTACCCATTTTCATAGATATAGGGGAAGGACTCAAGTCAGACACCTGTTCCTTTAGTTTCTTTTCCATTCTCCACTTCAATTACTGAGACCTTTCAGAACTAACAGAGGCTTCTTTGGGCTACGGAGGAGGAGAATGAAGTTGTCTTTGGCTATCTGGTCTCCTCCAGTGACCCACCAGGCCAAGGAATTGGCCCTCCTGTGTACTCCTCACAAGGACCTTCAAAGTTTGGACCATGAGGTGGTCAAATAAGGGAAGTCCCCTGGTCCCAGTGCTGCTTAATTTCTAAACAAGTTATGGGTGGGTACACAAAGGAAGTAATATTAATGGGCATAAGGGAGCAAGAAAGGGGGTGAAGAGAATGTTTAGGGATTAGAGGAAGCAAAAGAATTTTGCCTGGGCCTCAAGGCCAATTTAGATACTTTTTAATTTGATGTCACTGAATTGATCTTTGCCTGCTTAACGCTAATTGTTAACACTGCATAAGGCTAGCATTTCCCACTTAATATATGCACTTGCAGAAAACAAAAGTTTGAAATATGTTTGCCTTTTAGATGCTTATTTTTTCTTTTATTTACTAATTATACTGTTCATAAATTCCCACTGGAAGTGACATAGTCCTTTTAGGACCTGTGAACAAAACCGTTAACTTTCTATGCAGTCCAAAATAAGCAGAAGAGAACACTTTTTTTTTTCCTCAAGGCTTAACATAGGGAGCCAGACAAGATGCCTGTGCAAAAGGCTACCAGCGAGATGGTAAGATTTTTAAGATTGGATGTGAGTAAACAAATGTATTCATTAAGAACTAGGGGTTACTACTTTATTATATCCTATTGGAATGTAACTCTAGGAGGGTAGGGAGTTTTGTTTCTCACTAATATAACCTCAGTGCCAGAACAGTACCTGGAGCAGAGCGGGCATTTGATACATACCTTTTCTGAGTGTATGAATGAATCCCAAAGCTAAATATGTAGTAAGTTGTCTTTTATAAATCTTAGTGGTTTGCTTTTTTGTTTTTCAGATGGTCATATAAGAAAATTTTACATTGAAAATGTTAATCATGATATTTAAAAATACCTTTTCAAGCCAAGATTATTATTCTCATTTAAAATACATTTTTTTTTAATTGTAGCTCAGCATCTCCTTTTTCTACAATATCATGTTATTAAGTGTTCATCAAAATACCACAAGGTGGCATACAAAACCTCAAAAAGACATTTCTGAAATTCTGTCAAAATTTTACTACATACTTAATAGAAAACCTCCCTAAAATCCAGGCAAAAGAGACCCCCAGCCCTGGACCCTTTGCTTGAGGGCTAGGTTCTATGCCACTCTAGCATACATCCCTACCTACAGGGTGAGAACACCACAGAGCCCAGGGGCATGTCCCTCCTCACCTGTAAAACCTCTTCCAAGGCCTTTCTGCTCCATCCCAGGAGGACAGATGAAACTGAAGAGCACATTCCAAAAGTCTGGACTGCTCAAGCAGCACCTCTGCAGGAGCTGGGGTGGGTTGTCCTTGGGAGATGGCACTGGGACAAGGAGGGCTCTCGGAGTCCATCTCTCCCTGCTTTGAACTCCTTAGTGCAGGGCTTGAGGAGTCCAAGAATCCTGGGAACCTTAAGAAGGCATGTTTGCCAAGGTAGGAACAGTTTGTTAGTGTGATTTATGACTTCTGATTATTCTGATTATTTATGACCTCCATTTTCAGTGACAGGGCCCTGCAAACATTAGAAACAAGGCTGTGGTATATAATTTGTTGATATTTTTGTGTATATTTGCTTACTCACAATCTGTACTTGGAATCTCTGCATTAGAATTCTGAAATTTCAGTAACAAAATCAGTGGCTTATTTGAATGGCTTGTATTGGCTATTTATCAGGGGGTAAAAACAACTTTCATCAAAATGGCCTACAATGGAATTTGTAAACAAATGTTAAGTACGGCAGCTATTGCAGCTTTCTACCACTACTTCAGTTTTCCTCCTTCCAGGAAATAGAGTAGGACTGTACTTACCTATCCCTTGGTGTCAGTTGTGGCTATGCAGCTAGTTTTGTTGTTGTTGTGTTAAAACTCTGGTTTAGATTCTTCTTCTAATAATTTTGAGATGCAACTCTCAGATCATAAAATTCATCCTTTTAAAAGTGTACAATTCAGTAGATTTTAGTATTTTCAGTTATGCAAGTAACACCATTAACTTTACAACTTTTGTACCATTGTCACAAAAAGCAACTGGTACCCGTTGGCAAAGTATGACTAGGTTTGACCACTGCAATTTGAGTATGAAGGTTGTGCATCACGCTCAGCAAGTCTTTTCACAGCTAGTGGTGGGTTCCCCATTCTCCCCTTGCCATGGTGGGTGGTGTATTCCATAAACAAGACTCTATCAGCCTGCATCTTGGAGGATAAAAATAGAGCCAAGCTCTTAACAAACCAAGAACGTGGCTAAGAAATAAAGTTTCACTGTGTTGAGTCACTAAGATTTGGGGGTGCTCCGTAGACACAGCATAGTATGGCCCACGCACACTGGATTAACGATCTGATCAGAAATTCAAGGGAGAGAGAATTTTTCAAAAGTGCTTAGAAATTGTAATTAGAAAATGACTCACTACTAATTACCATCTTACAATGAAAAAGAGGCTGATTTTGAATGATTATTGAAGGAAAGCCACTTCATCTGAGCTAAGAAAAGGACACTTCGCCAAATATATTTACCATCGAGGATCCAATATGACTCCATCACGAACTTTGGTCTGCTGATGGGAATGTGATAGTTACCACCATTTGGGACAACTATGCTTTAAGGTTTCTTTTGGAATCCTACCTGTAATTTACTTGGTCTCTGGCATAAGATAAAACCCCAGAATGAATTTTTTTTCTTTCAATCGTTTATCCTTTAGCCTGTATTAAACATAATTTAATCTTTCTTAAGTAATTGCAATATCTCAGGTCTCCATTTTCAGTATCCCATCACTGTTCAGCATGGTTGACATATAAAATGAGATATTCTGTAGATCTTAAGGTATGTTCTATTGTTTTTAAAAGATATTATTTATTTATTCATGAGACACACACAGAGAGGCAGAGACATTAGGCAGATCATAAAATCCATCCTTTTAAAGTGTACAATATAACGTGTAAAGCAGGCTCCCTGTGGGGAGCCCGATGTGGGACTCGATCCCAGGACTCCAGGATCACAGCCTAAGCCAAGGTAGATGCTCAACCACTGAGCCATCCAGGTGCCCCTGCTCTATTAATAATGCTACTAGCACAGTTTAGGTTCCCATTACTCATCATCATTGCACAATCATATCAACTAATCCCCATTCTTTTCTTCTCTCTTCCTCTAATCTTTATTAGCTGCCAGATTAAAAATCCTAAAACGTAGTTCTGCTCATGACTTTTCCCTATACAAAAACCTTCAGTAGAAGCTCTTGGCTGGCTCAGTCAGTGAAACATGTGACTCTTCATCTTGGAGTAGTGAGGTCAAGCCCCAGGCTGGGGGAAGAGCTTACATTAAAAAAAAAAAAAAAAAAAAAAAAAGTAAAAAGCAAAACCAAAACCAAACAAAAACTTTTAATAGCCCTCAGAGAATAAAAAAATAATTTAGCTAGGTATTGTATTGCTTCGCTAGGACTGTCATAACAAAGTACCACAGACTGGATTGCTTATATAAAAGGTTATTTATTGCCTCACAGTTCTGGAGGCTACAAATCTGACATGAAGCTATTGACAGAGAGGATTTCTTCGGAGGGCTATGAGGAAGAATCTGTTGCATACCTCTTCCTTAGTTTTGGGAGGTTTGATGGCAATCTTTGTCATTCCTTGGCTTGTAGACGATCATCCCAGTCCCTGCCTTCTCTTCACGTGGCACTGTCCTTGAGTCTGTGTCCAAATTTCTTCCTTTTATAAGGACATCAGTCATATTGGATTAGGACCAGTGTTACTTCTTTTTAACTAATGTTTACACCTGCAATAACCCTATTTCCAAATAAAGTTACATTCTGAAGTACTAGAGTTTAGGACTTCAACACAGCAATTTTGAGGTGCACAATTCAAACCGTGACAGTATACAAAGCCCTCCACAAGGTTCCCTACTTCTCTTTTCAGCTTTATCCTCCCCTGTCTCACTACTTCACCTTATACCTGAGGTACTGCAGACAACAAAAAGCCCTGCCTTTCTGTGAGTCGTTACAATACTTTTCTGTCTCTGTTCATTTCTCTTCCTCTAATTCTTTTGTATTCTCATCACATCCTGTGCATTCTTCAAGGTCAAGCTCAAGTTTTCTATCTAGAAGTAATTTCTCTCTTTTGTGATTCCCTATGTGTATTATTTATACTTTTCTCTAATGGAATTCGCCATGTAATTTGTAACTTGTATTATACATGGCTTATGCAGTCTATAATCCTTATCAGACTGTAAGCCCCTTATGAAGAGGAGACACATCTTACTCATCCTTTAATTTTCCCACAGAATTTTTCAAAGTGCTTTATAACAAATATTTGTTGAATAAAGTTATAAACATCATAGAGCTTATAGTTTAAAATCTCTGGTATTAGTTATTTTATCATTATTACTACTTTAAGATTGCAGAAAAAATCTTATTAGTGGGTGCTTTTGACTTTAATATATATTATGGAAATGCACAAATGTTTTCAAACTAATATATAGAATCAGATACAAATTATGAGCCTAGAAGGTGAAATTATCAATATCCTGTAAGAGTCCATTAAACAACTCCAAATTCTTTCCTACAATATTATTTTTAAAAGTTGCAATGACACAGAAAGAAGTTTCACTTAATTCATTGTTATAGTTGAATAAATATTTATTAATCCCATTCTGGGTAGTTCAAACTTTTATTTTAAAGGGGCAAAATATTCAAAAAAAAAATATGGTACCAATACAAGAGAAAGATCTGAGAGTCTTGAGCTAGAATTTAGTTTCCTTTCTAAGAAGCAATCACACTCTACATTTATATGCTTCCTTTCCACACACACACACACACACACACACACACACACACACATACTGACATTCAAACATTACACAAGTTTAGATAAATTAAGAGTTATAAAATAAACCTTCAGGATTTAGTCATTCTGAGCGTATCAAAACACTTCTACACAACTTTTTTTTGAATGCAAAAGATAAAGATCCAAGGAGTTATACTTTCTAAACAAGCACTTTAAATGAATTTTGGTATTTACTAACTTAAGTATTCAAGGACTTGGTTTGAAGAGTCCAACAGACTGAAAGTCTGCTTTTCAAGAGTACTATGATCTCCTATCAATGGAGAGATTTTGGCATTTCTAAATTCTAATAGTTCACGATCTTTGCTTGATGTCAGTAATTCATTATCAACTACGCCAATAGTCGCATCTTCTACCAGAATATTCGCTTGGTATGCTCCAACTGGAATTTCAGGAAATCCAATGTAGTCATGATCTGCCACTACTGAACCTTGTAAGAGATAAAGACTATCTGAAAAAAGAAATATGTAAGTTTACCTTTTAGAATAATTAAACATCATTTTAAAATTAAACAATGTTAAATGGGGACAAAATTCCAAGTAATAAAAATTAACTCTAAGATTAACTGCTGGTGAGTTCTCCTATCTACTAATACACATGTCAAAGGATGAATAAAATGATACATACATTTGACAGCTCATATACATAGAATTCAGGAAAGACCTAAGATTTTAAAAGAGCCAAGTTTTCCTGTTCCCTTGATCTGTCTTTGGCAGGTATACATGAGTGGTTAGAAAGGGCTAAAGATTATGGTAAAGATTAAAAGCAAAGTTATAAAAACTCTTATTTTTGATGTTCATGATACACTTATTAATAGACTTCTGCAAGGTACTCCTGAGTAAATTAATGGGATCTTGAAAAATATTTAATAAATAAAATCCTTACATTTATAACTTTAATCTTCACAGAATCCATATAAGGACAATAATGTCCAGTTGTTTAAAATTAGGCCAATAATATCAAGTTGTTTATAATATGAAATTATAAACTAAAATGAAGTTAATAGTATCAGGCTTATATGACAGTTACTAGAATCAGGCTTATGTGATACAGGTAAGTGGGCAGGTTTATGTGTAAGTAGGCAGTTTACAATGCTTAGCTTATTTAAGTGTAATTTAATACCAAAATGCTCATGAACTTCTAAAGTGTAGTTAAATTCATACTGAAATACTGACAAGGAATTTCCCTTGTCAGCATTTTATTCTACTTTGAGCAAAATTATCATCGCTATCAGAAAAAAAAAATGCTCAATATGAATGTTAACCTGATGGTAAAACAAGTACCATCTTCATGAAAAAAGGTTTATGTACATAAAAGGATTTTTCCCTACCTGATATTTTAATTCATTATAACAAAGAACTCTTCCACCACAGATGATTAACTTCATGGACCCCAGCCTTCTTTTTCTGCATTTTTTCCCAAAGCATTAATGATTATCTCTTAAGATTTTAATAGCTTAAAGAGCCCTCAAATTTTAAGTTCAAGAAATAGCAAAAGAAAGACTAATTGCCCATTAGATTAGAGATTGAAGAAAGTTTCTCAGAGCAGATAAATTTCCTAATAAACCCTAGAACATGATCTTATTCTACCCATTCTCCTACTAATATGTGAAAAGCTCACTGGGCCTATTCTAATCCCATAAATTTACACACTTAAGAACTTTGGTTTAAAAACTTAAAAAAATCAGGGATCCCTGGGTGGCGCAGCGGTTTGGCGCCTGCCTTTGGCCCAGGGCGCGATCCTGGAGACCGGGGATCGAATCCCACGTCGGGCTCCCGGTGCATGGAGCCTGCTTCTCCCTCTGCCTGTGTCTCTGCGCCTCTCTCTCTCTCTCTCTCTCTCTCTCCCTCTCTCTCTCTCTGTGGCTATCATAAATAAATAAAAAATAAAAAAAAATAAAATAAAAAAATAAAAACTTAAAAAAATCAAAGCCATGATGCTCTCCCATTAAGTGGACTTGGTTTGCATGGGCATTTAGTTTTGACCATTTTGTTCTTCATTAGGCAAAGTATATTTGGTATTTTAATTTTGAGAGGTTTGCCAAGTTTTCTCCCACCAATTCTTATTCATGCAAAAGTAGTAATTAGATTGAAAAAGATGGCAAGATAAAGGTATTTATGATGAAAACAAAAGTATAGATAATTGAAGGTGGTAAGAAAATGATTTTTGTATGTTAGCACGGGATGAACTGGACAAGTGAACAATTCTGAAGGATAAAAACCAAATTGTGCAACTCATGAGAAGTGCTATTGTCCAAGAACAGCAAGAAAGAGCAAAAACATGATCAATGCATTTGAAACACTCAGAACGTGTTGCTAAAGGTTCAACATCAAAGTTCACTCTTAGGCTCTTAATACTGGAGAAGGCTAGACACTTATAAGAGAACTTCCAAAGGTTAGGTATGATAAATTTATCACTGGTGAAATTTTTCAAATAAGCATGGGAATTCCACAGTTTCAAGGCCTGCACAGTGCTCAAAGTATTGGTGATTGCAGATACCATAAATTTAAGGTATTTCCAAAGATCCTTGCAAAAATTCTTTGATGCAGTTTTCTCAGTTTTTTTTTTGAAAAATATGTCCAGTAAAAAAAAAAAAAGAAAAATATGTCCAGTAAACATGGTATCAACAGGGAAAATGCACATAGCATAGACATGAAGCTCTTAGAAGTTGCCACATTGATATCCTGGAAATACATTCAGATATTGAGCTTAAACACCTGTTAGTTATATTGGACTTCAAAACCAATGCAGCACTTTACCAACTGCACTTGTTTCTAAGAGGAGAGCTTCTATGTGTCATATGTGTACATGACTTTATATAATACACAAATTTTTTCTTTTAAATAAGTGATAAATTTTAAAGTACCTATTGTAAAAAAAAAACCTACTGTAATAAAACTGTAGAGAACAAGAACTATACTTGGCAAATTCTACACAAATCACTTTACATGCAATGGAAAATTACTCTGGAGATTTCAAGCTATGTTTGTGTAGAAAAACAAACAAACAAAAAAAAACAAAACCAATTCTCATTTATCCAGAAGGTCAAATATGTTTCAACTCCAATATGGTCTAGATCTACTAGAGCCAACAGAAATGCTCTCTAACTTCAAAACAAATTACCAGGAATTATCAGAAGAGACTTTTGAGGTCCTACACATATTATTAAATAATAACTAGATAGAGCAGGTTATATCAAATATATTTTTAAAATTTTCACATATTTCTTGCCTACTTTAATGTGATTACTAGAAAATTTAAAATTACACTACTATATAACTTTTGCATTTTATATATATCAATTCGACAGTTCTGGTGTAAAATAATCCTGAATTAGGGATGTAAAAAAGAACAAGTTTTGTCCCCAAGATACAGAGGTAAACATATCATATTAAAACATTTTTCTATTCAGCTGTATTAAAGGATAAACTTTTCTTTTTTCATTCTATTAATTTAATTATCATTATGACATCTGTTTGATGAAAGCATTATTTCAGCTTTGGCCAGGCTGAGTAATTAAGCCTTTAGTTTTTTCCAAGTGGAGGTAAGGTGTTATCACAGCAGTTTAGACATATTTTTCCTTATGTAGTTTTAAGGAGTTAAAAAAAAAAAAAAGGAATTAAGAAACAAATTTTTAAGTTTCTCTAAGGAGAAAAATAAGTTGAAATTAAAGTCTCAGAAAAGTCTGAGTGATTTGGATTAATTTATTTCGTTAAACATAAAGAAAAGTACATGGTTTTAGAATACTGTATTTCCTTATTCTGAAGAGGTGATCAGACTAATTCTATATACAGCCAGATAATTCTAAAACTTTTAGAATGTGTTGATACAATAGATTATCCATCCTCTCTTATGATAAAATCATGACAGATTACTGTAATTTGGTATTACATAATTGCCACATTTATAAAAATAACCAATACTAACAACAGAGAACTGAATCTCTAAATCTCAGTTTAGAGATTACACAACTAAGAGCTCAAAGGGAGGTTCTTTGGATAAATTATATTAATAAAACAGTAAATATAATGGGCTTAATAAAGATCTAAACTTTGTTTTGTTTCATGAATGGAAACCATAATAGTGGGAGGGAGAATAATGGGTCCCTAAAGATGTCCATGTTCTAAAACTCCCTGGACCTGTAAGTACAGTACCTTACATGACAAAGGAGAATTTGAGAAGTGATGGAATTAAGGTCACTAACCAGCTGACCTTAAAACAGGGATATAATTCTGCATTATCCAGGTGGGCCTAAGGACAAGGGTCCTTAACCATGGAAGGGGAGGGAAGGGAGAAGGTTGCAGTGACTGTGACGTGAGGAGGACTCTATCTGTCATTGCTAGCTTTGAAGACAGAGGTAGGAGAACACAAGCCAAGCAGTGTGGGTAGCCCCTAGCAGTTGGAAAAGGCAAGGAAACAGGTTCTCTTTTAGAGCCTACAGAAAGGAACAAAGCCCTGCCAATGCCTAATTTTAGCCCAGTAAGACCTATCTATGTTGGAATTCTAAGCTAAAGAACTGTAAGGTGTTTTAAACCATTAAATTTATAGTAATATGTTATAGCAGCAGTAGGAAACATATAAAACAATGAAAACCATTTCATAAACTTTGAAGAGCAATCAGCAGACAGAAATCTATCACAACTCCTACCCAAAATGAAACAATAAAACTACTCAACATCTATGCTGGATAGAAGAGTCAGTAACATTGTTCTTATCAGAAGGGAACATTAGGATTATAAAGAGATACTAAGGTATGTCATAAAACTAACTAAAATAATTAGTCTTGAAAAAGAAGTACCTGGCATTGAACCAGACAAAATGACATAGGCCTGCTTAAAATAGCCATGAGAAATATTGTTGACCTAGTACTGAATGTGCTCCCTCTACATTATGTTCTAGATAAGAATGGATAAGAAGTTGGAAACAGAGCTTAACTGCTTTGGACAGTGAGTCTTTAAAATAGCTATGCGATCTCACACCTGGTAAGAGTAGCAATGACAAGTACAGACAGAAAATTCAGAGTTCTTTTGGATATACCTCTTCTAAATTTATGTCAAAGAATAGGATTTAAGACGTTCAAAGACATTTAGTTTGCATGACATTCAGTTCAAGGACACTTTAAAATCAGCTTCTGAGGTAAAGATTTTCAAGAGAATATGTAATACTGAAGAAAAAGATGGCAGAAATCACATTTATTTTGAATTTCTATAAAGAAAAGAAAGACAAAATAAGGAACAAATAGTAATCAAGAACCAGATTCCAGGATGGTTGGATCACATTTCCTTTGGTTAATAAGAAAACACAATTTTACCCATCTAACTCAGATCTCTTACATGTACCCTAGTACTAATATTAAAATTTTCCTTATATTACTGGAAGAAATATCTGCAAAGAATTCAAGCATGAGGGAAAAATTAGACTGCCTTTGTTTAGAAACTGTTCTACTCAATTGGATTCTGAAATATGCAGGACTAGCAAAATGTTTGGCCTCCTTTCTGAGAAAGTCTTTGGCAAGAGCAAATTGCAAAATGTTGAAGCAGATGTAGCAACATTTTAAATGTAAATTTTGTATTAACTAAGGAAGGCTAACATATTAGAAAGGAGTGAGTCCTGAATGCTGAGATTAGGGAAACAATCTTGCTAGAGAAGAAAGGACAATATGTACCTGTATAATTTTTTTTCTACTTAACTTACATAAGAAAGAAATCATAAAGGGCAAGTAGTACAAAGAATGAAAGTACCATCTTTCAACAAGGACAGTGAAGAGACTGTGAGCTTTCAGAATTAGAACAGTTCAGGGTAAATTTACTAATTGAGCAATCAGGCTGTTACAAGCAGAAGGAAAGATACTAAGAGGTTTTTTTTGTTTGCTTGTTTTTTTGATACTAAGAGTTTTTCTTTTTTTTTTTTTATTTTTATTTATTTATGATAGTCAGAGAGAGAGAGAGAGAGAGGCGCAGAGACATAGGCAGAGGGAGAAGCAGGCTCCATGCACCGGGAGCCCGATGTGGGATTCGATCCTGGGTCTCCAGGATCACGCCCTGGGCCAAAGGCAGGTGCCAAACCGGTGCGCCACCCAGGGATCCCTGATACTAAGAGTTTTTAAACTTGACAGTTTTGATCCAGATCAGAAGGAAAGTTGAGCTATTTACCAAACAGCCCTTAAGGGCTTCTTTACCCTAAAGAAATAAGGTTAAGTATAAATACTCTGAATAATATAAATAAGTATAAATATTATCTTCAAATAATATTGATGCTTTATTTTTCTTTATAGGAAAAGCCAAATTAAAACTGGCTGAGGTACCAATTCACTACCTCTGTTATCCACCTCATATAAACTCTAGGGAATGGTTACGATAGGACAGAACAAACCAGTCTCAAGTAAGTGGAATTTAATCTGAAAGCCATAGCAAAAAGTCATTTCTCTCTTAATCTCTCAAAGAAAAGGTTAAAGAAATCAGGATATCCTTCTGACTGTTCAAAACCACATCTGGGGGCAAGCATAACCATGTTCAGGCTTTCACCTCTCCTTATAGCACCTTACAGCATTCTGATTACACCCCACTGTGCACTTTCTCTTGCACCTATCATAACCTATGGCATAACATAAAAAAAAAACACTTTTTTAAAAGTTCTCTAGTATATTTATCTCACAACAGAATTCTGGATAGTATGTTTGGTTTTGGCATCATTTACCTTAGTGGATATTTTCTTATGCTAAGCCGAGGCACAAAGTGACAAAATGTTGTGAAAGCAAAAATAAAGAAGACCTAATTCTTCCTTCTGTGAAATGGGTCCAATAACTCCTACGTGAACTATGAGGTAAATGTATGAAAAGTACACTAGAAATCAGAACCGTATCTCTTAGAAGCCTGACAGTTTCAAGAGAGTCATTCTAACAGAATACCTGGGATCTAAAATTATACCACATTTTATAAAAATGAGAAAGTAAAAGAAAACCTAACTGAGAAAAGAGGTTTGGGCTGGGTAGAGGGTGGATTCTTACATTACTTTTAACTTCCCTCCTCATTCACAAAAAGTAAAATGTAAAGAAGTAGCAGATATTTACCTTGCTCACTGGACTCTCTTACATAAGGCTTAAGGTGGGACATTTTGATAGGTCTTTTAAGTCTCGTCCCAGTGTTGTCTCTTAGAACAGCACATCCACTTTCTGTAATATAGTCTATGACACAAGGACCAACCCATTCTGACTGGAAACGACCATCCTTCCACCAATTTTTCCTTTGTCTTAAAACTTCATGACCCACTTTTAAATGAAATGGATTTAATTGCTTTGGTTTCTTTTTAACAATGATTTTGCTTTTATTTAGTTCATCAAGATTGTTGTTCTCCATCTGTAAGAGCAAAATAAAAAAGAACAAAGGGAGGAAAGTTATAGTTTCTCGAAAGTAAATGCAAATAACAAAATGGTTACTTACTAAGATATTATTACAATGTAGACATGAATCTCTATTTAATTCTGAAAAATATTTCAAAACCAGTACCATTACCCCAACTTTGCAAAGAAATTAAACTGAGATAGGTTAAGTAATTTGCCCAAATCAAACGACCAGAAAGCAACAAGACCAGGAATGTGAATTCAGTTCAACCTAATTCCAAAGAACAAGGTATTCCCATTACCGTCTCTCAGAACTTTATAGTTAGTAAGCATACTATGTAATCAAAACAAGCAGAATTTAATAGAAACAAACTTGGCTTATATAACATATGTATGTGTGCATCCATGTGTATGTGTGTGCATGATGAAATTTCTAAAATTACTTCGTGGATTTTTAGATTATAGAGTTTTCTATTAAATAGAATCACCTGTCCTGCTGAAGTTGTCTTATTCTCCATTATTTTATCAGCTTCTTTAATTGCACCTAGAATTTTGGCAAACATACTTGTATCATTACCATCTGCTTCATGAAGAATATCTGAAGTCTCAGTCATGTATGGATTTCGATTAAACATTTGAAAATACGGTATATTTTTAGTAGGCTCCTATTTTAAGGAAAATGAACAACAATTTGTAATTATTTATATAGCCAAGAAACAGTCATAACTTAAAAGTATAGAATAATAAAAAGACACATACCAAGTGAGTTACATTGAAGGCAAATGAAATAGCTGATAGGTGATCATCCCAGTTGTTTGGGTGGTCAGCACAGTGTTTAGAAAGAAATGCCTTTATTGTGCTCGGTGTACTTTCAGTTGGATTAATGGTTTGGGAGGTATGAGAAATTACAATTTGCTTTGTGCCAAACAATCCATACAGTTCAACATTGATCTGAAAAGTATATAAAACAAAGTGGACTTTAAAATTTGTATTTCACTTTTCCCTGACCAAAAGGTTTCAAAAGAATTTGAATCTTGCCTTTTTCATTGACCATAGCCATTCTATATATAAAAATACACATACTGTACTTAAAACAGCAATTACCATTTACTGAGTGCTTATTATCCATTGGTCAATACAATAGATGCTTTACATTACTGTTGTTATACCTTACAACAGTCATGAGTTACCTTTAACCCCATTTTAAAGATAAAAGTTTTGGGAAGCTAGGAGGCTTGCCAAACATACATATACAGCAAGCAAACGGAAGAACAGAATTTAACACTAACTCTGAGTTCATATAACATTTTAATTCAGCAATTTCTCAAACACATACTAGGTCACATAACCCAGTTAACAGTTATGAGACTGGCAAATAACTAAACTTGTATACTCAGTTTCCTCATGCGTAAAATGAGGATAATTCGGCCCAGGATTCTTTTGAGAATTATGAGTAGATATCTGTGAAGCACCTACAACAGTTCTTGGCAAGTAGTAGGCACTTTATAACTTGTAATGTTACTATTATTATCGTAGTTATATTTATTATCTGCAGGACCTAAGAAAAGTCAAAATGAGTTTAGAAAACTTCTAACTATAAGCCTATAAAACATAAAATAACTTATGTTTCCTATCTTATGCCTCAGACTATCTTTTCTTATTATTTTTAACTGGGTAAACTTTTGGTTAATAAACTAGGTCTTTTAAAAGATTGTATTCTTGTTGCCTAATTGTAAGAAGACAAATCATATCAGAGTAACTAAAAAGGTAAGGCTAATAACCACCAAAACCAAAACCACATTTCCCAACCTACCTTGCAGGTAGGAGTAGCTATGTGACACTGTTTTGGTCAAAAGGAAATGTGGAAGTTGTTGGGCTTTTAAAAGTTGTTGGGTAGACTCAGTTCATACTAGGTTTTTTTGTGTCTGTTGTCCTCTCCATTTTTTGTCTGAAATATAGACTTTGTGGCATAGGCTCTGGCACCCATCTTGTGAACATAAGACTAAGAGTCGTATCTCAAAGATGGTGGAACAGAAGACTGGAAGATTGGATTCCCAAAGACATTCAACCTTGGACAGTTTAGCCTTCTTGTAACTTTTGGAGTATATATATATATTGGGCAGAAGACAGCAGTTCTCTTCCTTGCAACTAATAAAATTCCTAGCTGATACGTGTACTAATTTTGGCAACCTCCTTTTAATTTTTTTAAAGATTTATTTGAAAGAGAGAGAAAGAAAGAGAGAGGATGAGTTGGGGGGAGGGGGGAATAGAAGAAAAGGGAGAGAGAATCCCAAGCATACTCTGCACTGAGCGCAGAGTCCGATGGGAAGCTCAATCCCATGACCATGAGATCATGATCTGAGCCAAAACCAAAAGTAGGATGCTTAACCAGCTGTACCCCCACCTTTCAGTCTTTTCATTCAAAAGTAATATAAAAGATATACTTAAAAAAAAAAATACAACAACCAAATCCTAGAGGGACGCCTAGCTGGCTCAGTGGGTAAAGCATGTGACTCTTGATCTTGGGGTTTTAAGTTCAAGCCCCATGCTGGGTGTAGAGATTACTTAAAAATAAAATCTTTTAAAAAAGAGACAGAAATCTCAGAGAATTGGTGTTATTTGGGTCAGCCTCAATCTGAGGTCATAATCAATGCTTTTAAATGACTGACCTCTGGAAGAGGGTCTAACAACTTCTTTGCTTCGAGAGGTTGCCTAGGAATGGTCCAGTGAATTCATTTGTGGGATGCTAGCCTGATAACATAACCCCAGAGCCTTTTTGCTCCCATCAAACCATTCTATTAGTGGTTACAATTCTGCTTTTCTAAAGACCTGTATTTAAAATCAAAGGAGGAGATTTTCTCCTTTGGAAATGTTTGTTTTCTTTCCTTCAGAGCTTTCCTAAAAGTTCCTGCATTGTATTGAAACATTTATATTTTCATCCAACTGTGTGTGTAATACACACACTAAATTCATCCACACTGCCACATTGTAATCTTATTTCAACACTTTAGCAGTGTTTGGTAAGTGTTTGCTAACAAAAGAAGACATTTCATTTTGTCAACATTATACTCACTGTATAATATTTAAGCCATTTACATACATCAGAGTAAAAAGAATTTTCTCAATCATCTGTGATTTTTAGCTTTTTGCTATTAAACTTCACAAAAGAGGCTTATAAACATTGTTATCTTTGGTAAAATTTCCAAAGTCCTGGATTATTATGTGACTTTAAACATAACTGGAAAAATGGGTGACTCATAATAGTCCATATTGTCATGATTATTATCTCTAAGCACTACATGCACTTAGCATGAGGCTTTTTATTAGTTGTGGTGGAAGCAAATCAGTTTCTTGATATTTTGGATTTTGGTGAACAATTTCCTATCAGATTTAATTAGTTCATGTTTGTTTTCATCTCATTAATGTGTCTATAAAAGAACTAGTAACAGAAGTTAAGTAGAAGTACCAGCTCTATGATTTTCTTGTGGTTGATGGATGATTGCATTATTAGTAGTACCTTGTTTTCACAGTAGGAAACTTAAGCCATCTGGCTATTCCATAAGGAGTAGTTTGATGAAAACTAGGTGATATTTATAAACACAACTACTGCTGAAAACCAAGAATGAGCAAGGGAACTGTAGATAGACCTCTTATGTGTAGTGGATTCTTTCTCTTTTCATACCCTCATACATCATGTGTGACATTCAATCACCTGCCTTGTTGATTCAGGATGCTATTAATCATCTGTATACATCATTAGCAAAACTTTTCTTTCTTATTAGAAAAAAAAGAAACATAAGCAAAGTTCCAACATTGTTATCCCATAAACTGGATTGTTTCACGCACCTCATTTTGACCACTGTGTCAGTCAAGGCAGGCAAGGTTATGTGGTAGTTACAAAACACATTCAAGTCTCAGTTTTAATGCAGTAATTTTACTGCTTGCTCCTACGAACTTGGCTATGGGTCAGTATGTCTCTTCAAGGCAACAATTCTTGACTACATGCCTCAGCAATCCTAGATGAGAAAATTTCACCCCCTATAATGTAATATCTGGAATGTTCAGTCAATTCCCCAGAGAAAAAGTAAAAGACTGGGAGACTGAAGAAAGGAGCATACAGTTTTCACTACCTCAGCCTGAAAGTGGCATCCATCCATCCATTCAATTTCTTTGGCTAGATCTAGTTACTTGGGCTTGCCAACCTCCAAGAAGATAAGACAGCCTTCTACATTTGAAAGGCTAGGAGAACTAGTTATTGCTGAGCATTAGTAATTTATATTACAAAAGCAACAGATGATTGTGTATATTTTAATCACGAAAAACTGTTAAAAGCAGGCAGCCTGGGTGGCTCAGAGGTTTGGCACCGCCTCTGGCCCGGGGCCTGATCCTGGAGGCCCGGGATCGAGTCCCATGTCAGGCTCCCTGCATTAAGCCTGCTTCTCCCGCTGCCTGTGTCTCTGCCTCTCTCTCTCTGTCTCTCATGAATAAATAAATAAAATCTTAAAAACAGTGTACATGTTATTTTTTTTAATATTTTACTTATTTATTCATGAGAGACACACAGAGAGAGGCAGAGGTATAGGCAGAGAACCAGGCTCCCCGCAGGGAGCATGATGTGGGACTTGATCCCAGGATCACGACCTGAGATGAAGGCAGATGCTCAACCACTGAGCCACCCAGGTGCCCCTGTTAACTCCTTTTCTTTGAAAATATAATTTTTGGGGGTAAATATCATTTTTAATGGCCACAAAATAATCTCATCATGTGGCCAGACACAATTTTTTAAACACTCTCTTTTTTGGGATTTTAGGTTGTTTCCTGTCTCTCACTAATATAAATGGCACTGTGGTAATCATGTCATAAAAGAGCTTTTTTTCTGTACTTTGGATAATTGCCTTAGAATAAATTCTTAGAAATAGGATTGCTAACCAAAAGACACACACACACACAAACACACATATATATGGCTTTTAATGGACCTTTGGAAAACTATTTTATGAGAGAGTATCAAGTTGCAATGCTGCCAGGAAGGTAAGGCTGTCTCATTCTACCTGTAGTCTACTTGGTATTATTACCATTTTTGTTGATTAGACAAGTTAAAATGGTCTTACTTTGCATTATTCATTCCTATTTAATTTGAACACTTTTCCATGTTTGTTATTTTTAAAAAAGACTTATTTACTTATTTGAGAGAGAGGGCACATGAGCATGGGGGGGGGGGACGACAAAGAGGGAGGGAGAGGGACAACAGACTCTGCACTGAGCAGAGAGCCACCACAGGGCTCAAACCCAAGACCCTGAGATCATGACCTGAGTGAAATCAAGAGCTGAACACTTAACTGACTGAGCCACCCAGGGTATAGGAACTTGGATTTGGGGATTTTCCACTGTTTCCTGATAAACGTGGCTTACAGTGCCTAAACTAAACAAACAAGGTGGTTTATGCTGAATACCTTTTTTTTCTTTAGGAATCTAAGATTTTGGTACAAGCCAGGCAGAGGGTGCCTATGTGACAGCTCCCAATAAAAATCCTACACACAGTCTCTAATGAGCTTCCCTGGTAGATAACGTTTTACATGTTTGCTACAACTCCTTGTTGACAAAATTAAACATGTCTGGTTGTCTCTGATTTTTTCTTATACTAGTATTCTGTCTAATCATGAAAATTTTAAAATATACCTTAAGTGTTATTGTCACTATTCCTTTTTTAGGATTTTCATATATATTCAAGTTAACTTGAAAGAATATTCTTCCATATATATACATATACATATACATATACATATACATATACATATATATATATATATATACTCTTGACTGCATAACTTCCAAGTCAACGCTGGAAAAAGTCCAAGGCAAGGAAAAAAGCTCCCTCTTTATTAATGCTGATTAGAAATTACTTATGTAAATTAATTTTGAATTGGGAAAAATCAATACCTTTCAATACTGAATATTCTCATTTATAAATATGATGTATTTCTCCATTTAGTCAATTCTCCTTCTGTATGTCAATCATAGAATGTTTCTAAAGATTTTATTTTTAAGTCATCTCTACACCCAACATGAGTTTGAACCTATGACCCCGAGATCGAGAGTCACATGCTCTACCCACTAAGCCAGCCCCGGGTCCCCAATTACAGAATTTTCAAGCTAGAAAACAAGGATTATTTGGTCCAACTTCCTCATTTTAGTTTTAGGAAACCTGAAGATAGTTTTATAATTACTTAGTTGCACAATTAATACAAAATCCTGGTCTCTTAATTTCCAGTCCAGCTACCTTTGTGCTCTACAATATTAAACCTCTACATCTGTAGCAATTTATATAAACTTACTAAGTTTACTCTATAATGCATTACTCTATAATGCACAGGTGTGCTAGGTACTGAAAGTAAGTAAAATATGCTCTTAGACCTAATTAATTTATCTATCTTACCTCATGAATGAACTCTTCTCTTTGGTCCATTATTATTTTCTGAGGAGGGCCATATAAGAAAAATATATTGATAATAGCTTTAGAAATTTCTGATGCTGAAACATCACAGAGAGGCAAAATCACAACCCATTTTGTGAACAAATCTGTCATGATTATAGTATAAACATGACTTCTGTTGCTTGCATGAAATGGGCCCATCAGATCAACAGTAACTATACTCCATGGATTCTCCACTTTGAGAAGGTGCTGTTTAGGTGCTAGAATAACTGTATTTTTTGCCACTTGGCAATGCTGGCAAGCATATACCTATAAAACAGGCACACAATAAGAAAAAAAGATAAGGAGATGTTAATATATTTAACATAATAAAAAAGCAGTCTTATAAATCTGAATTTTAAAATGGTTTATAGGCACTTTGTTTTGAAGGAGAAGCTTTTAGGCTATTCTCAGAATAGAATAAAACCTTCTGTTCAGAATAATAAGCAAATATTACTTGCTATTACAATCCAGTGACTACCTTCAGAGGTCTTATTCACATGGAACATTAATTCTAGTTTACATTCAAAAAGAAAAAAAAATTCCAGTTTACATTCAATAAACATTATGTGAATAAATCTCAAAACAAATTTGTTATATCAAATTCATTATATTTTTAAGTCAGTGTCTGAATTTATAATCATTTCTATAAGCAAAAGATTTGTTTCTTTTAAAGTTATCAATCTAATAAATTCATTCACCGATCTGTTAGAACAGTATTTATCAAAACATAATTTTATTAAAAAAACACTTTACAGATGCCAGAAATTCCTCAAGGTCCCAGGAAAATAGAACAAAAACAAAGCCCATGTTGTCAAAGAGCTTTTAATGTGAGTGGGATGAGAACTGAGTAACACACGGGATGGTGCCAATGCTCAATATATTTCTAGAATTCCACTTTTGAAACCACTTTCAAATCAACTTGTGAGCAAAATTTTATAAACTATATTTGCATTACAGTTACTCAATCAAAAGTTTTATCTTCCAATTTATGTACATACTAGCTTTCATCATAAATAATCTTATTATTCCTAAAAGTCATACCCATTCTCAAATGATAAAGATCTGACAAAGGTTTCACTGAATAAAGGAATGTGTGACAAGTTCTAAAGGCAAATACAAATACTGAGGTCTTAGAATACATGCACAGGCTACAAACTGGTAACTCTCTAATGTTATTTAGTTAAATGTTGTTTTTAATTCTTTATACCTGAAATAACAGTCTTTTTGATGTACTTTTATAATTATTAAAAGGATCTCCCATACATACCAAGGAATTCCTACCATTTGTCATACAGAGTACACTACATAGAGTAGGGATCAGATGACTTATCAGTAAGAATACCAGAATTCCTAGATGAATATCCTATAAGAAGCCGAAGGTTGTAATAGGTTGTAAAGTTTCAAAACTAAGACTAATTTCATTATTTTTACAACTTGATTTTGCCTTCTTTAATTTTGGGTCTCTGCCATATTTGACATTTTCTACATTAAGATGAAATGTGCACAAAAAAAAAAAAATGAGAGCACCCACTGGACCTGACTTAGGAACAGATTCTCCCTCAAGAAAAGATTATATGACTGCCATCAAAGAGGTATTTAGTCAAAGGAATTTCAGTCCTATTAGAATTCTGCCCATACAAGAGTTCAATGATGAAGATCTGGTTCTAAATAATCTATTTAAATATGCTATTTTTCAAATGTTTAAATAATGTTTTAGTTCAAATTATACTTCAGTAATTTTAAAAGAGAATTTTGAAAAGCTTTTTTTTTTTAAGAGAGGAAGGGAGGAGGGACAAAGATAGAGGAAGAGAGAAAATCTTAAGCAGGCTCCACCCCACAGTTCATAGCCCAAAGTGAGACTCAGTATCACAACCCTGAGATCATGACCTAAGGTGCAATTAAGACTCAGATGCTTAACAGACTAAGTGACCCAGGCACCCCAAAGGAGAATTTTGATAGGAAATAAAACTCATTTTAAACGTTTCTGTACAAACACTACTAGTACAAAAAGTATTTAACAAGAAATAATATTCAGAGTAAATCTGGAGCAATATTGAATTTTGGATATCTACCACAAAGATAGTATTTAAAATATTCTTAAAACATAAGCCATACCCACTGTTTGACATCATTGGTCACTGAAGTCCAATAATAACTAGATTCCACTAGAGTAAGGGTCCTGGATATGCCATGATGGGCTCCAGTGTCATTTTCATGGCACTCTCTTAGGACTTTCTTTTTTTCTTCTTCTGAAACAATTACCAAACGATTTTGTTTTCTGTCTTTTCCAACATAAAACAGCTTTTTTTCTGGAATAAATAATAACAAAAGATATGATTACAATATTTAGAGATCACTACAGTTTTATGATAAACTAATCAGAGCCTTATCTTCAAATCATTGCAATCTTTAAAATTTTTTTTGCCTCTAAGACAATATTTATTTGGAATGCACACACAGTCTGAAAGGTCCTCAGCTGTTATGCTTACTTGATATGTAGAAGGATCACTAGTTGCTATAATTCTGTAGCTATCTATACCAGTGGAGCTAGCTTGTTCATCAAAAAACATGTGATAACTACAGGAGTATAATATCTTTCTATGGGAGTATTCAAACTGGAAAAATACTTGTAGGCACCTCCTAAAAATGGCATGAATTAGCAGATAAATTATGTATAGATAAGCAACTTCTGGAATAGAATTTTCTAAAATAGCATTTCACCATAAGTACATTTTTGTAAGAAACCGCCACTGTTAACTTTTTCTAGATTTGAACAGGAGGTGGGGTTTGTAAAGCAGGAAAGTGAGAGAACCTTAATCCTTTAAGACAGTTCTCTGTTTTTCCTTTGGAAGGCACCTGAGAAGAATTCACAGCTAGAAAACAAGAGGTAGGGGAAAGAATCACTCTCTATCTCCAGTGTGGATGAGATTGCTACTCAAACTCCAAAATACAGCATTAAGTTACTAATATGTTTAATTAAGCATATGCTGAGTGGAAAACATTCCTTACTTGAATTAGAAGGTAAGCAACTTAAGGGCAGAAACCTTCTCTACTTTATTCATCAGTGTATTATTCCTAAGACCTAAAATGTGATTGATATTCAGTAGGAACTTAGTAGACATTTGTTGCATAAATGTTTAAATAAATGAATGAATGAATCACAACTTTACTAAGAGGTAATAGGTATACTTATGAAATGTAAGAGTTATAGGAGGAGATATATACACAGAGAGATGTGAGGACGTATTTATTACTTTAAAGTCTTCTTGACTTGTTTTTTTGGGAAGCCTAATAACTTTGTACCTGGAGGCAAAACTCCCATTAATTAATAGCACCAACATTCACTTAGTCATCTGGTGACTTATCTTCTGCTTTATTTCACTGCAAACTTCTCTTCCCTTTGAAGGAAGAGAAGAGAGAAAAATTACCATAATCTTTCAACATAAATTGTCTACTGCCTTTCAAATATTTAATCCATTCAGGGAGATTAGGTATCCAAAAAGGAATGTGACCCTGAAAATATGTGATGACAGGAGGGACCACAGAAATAAATATAGTAAAAACTTAACGTCAACATCTTCATATTAGCAACAAATAAGTTCTTCATTGATAGTGACCTAAGTGCTAGAAAACGTCGTTAAAGGAGGAACCACCTGAGGACAAAAGCAGGAGAGGTTAATTTAGGTGAGTGTTTTGTTATTTTTTTTTTTCATGGTATGATTTTTTTTTCTGTCTATGATTTAAAATGCTCTTTTTCATGCTTATTGGCATTCGGTTAGCTTCAGTGTAATTTTTATTTTGCTTTTGACTTAGTGGAATCATCAATTACACTGCTAATTGTTAAGCAACAGCCAGTTACTGCAGAAGTTCTCAGGATTCCACAAAGAACACACATGGAAAAGCATCCATATCAACTCTATACTTAAGACTTGAGGCATATATGATACCTTTCTTTTTCTTTTTTTTAAGAAAGAGAAAGAAAATGAGTGGAGGTGGGGGGTTGTGTGTGCAAAAAAAGGGGCAGAGAGGGAGGGAGAGAGAATCTTAAGCAGGCTCCATGTCCAGCACAGAGCTCAACAAGAGGCTCCATCTCAAGACCCTGAGATTGCGACCTGAGCCAAAATCAAGAGTCAGATGCTTAACCAACTGAACCACTCAGGCACCCCAGTGTTACCTTTGAAGATAAATTTTTTTGCTGCTCGTCTTATGCCACTTCTTTCACTTGGTAGTGTAGTTGGATGATATTCACCAGTTCGTTTATAATACGCAATCTGTTTAAGATGAAGGTCACCATTTTTTCCACTACGGACCATCATGTACCTAGGCAATAGATATTTAAAGACAAAATTTAAATGATAAGCTCATTCAGTTGCTATTTTAGTTCAGGCTTCTGTCATATTTCTGCTTACATATGAATTGAACATTCCCGGAATATTATCTGTGATGGAGATAAATATAGTACAGAAAAGGAACTGTGTGATGTATATGAACTAATATATTCAAAAGCTATTTTTGAGATAGATACATCATGACACATTATCTTGCTCTTTCCGTGTGAAAAGAAATGTTGAAAATTTTCCACATACTGGAAAAAAAGAAAATAAACAATTATGCTTCAAAAAGTTTTGCTTCAAGTCTCTCATTATCATCAAATGAAATATTACTTATACAGATGGTTCTGTTATGTGACATTTAAATACATGATATGTTATAAAGGGGAGATATAGGTTTTTTTTCCTTCTAAAAATATTCATGGTCATCGTGAAATGCAAAAAAAAAATAGTCCATTCATATAATTTATGAGAAAGATCTATTTTGGAAATGCTTCAATGATAAATGACAGAGAAGATACTTAGCTATGCTAGATCTCATATATTCTTCTCAACTACATATAAGCTTATTCTTGAACAGAAATAATTTTCGGTCATGTACACACTTTCTCTGTTATGAAGAAAACTCTGGCTACACTGACAAAAGCAAAACAAAATAAAATTCGTCTATTTTAGACCACAAATTATAAGGGAAACCATTAAATTAAAAAGAAAAAAGCCCTTTTCATATTTTCAGCTGAAAGGAACTATTCTGTGCAGATTATTCTGCTTGCCACTACCTCTACCCATCCAGAAAATTTTTGGCCTTTCCTTTCTCTGCTCCTGTGCCCTCAGAGACTGATCCTTATGAACTACATTTAGTTTTCTTATTTGGCTTGTCCAATGGGAGGTACCAACAGGCAAATCAGAATGCAGAAGAGTTCAGGGTATTTATTTCCCAGGTCTTTCCTTAGTTTAGGCTACAACCCTCTGCAACTATAGCTTTTGTTGAGTAGCCCATCTTTCAGGTCTCTAAACTTCACTGGAAGTCTATAACATCATTTCTTCTGTTTGCTAATTCAAGGGCACTATTCCACCACTATTCCCTGCTGTTACTAATCTCCAGGTGCCATGTTGATTTCTTTGACTCTGTTCTTATGTCTTTAAATAGGAGCTTCATTAAATTTTCTTCAAATTTTCAGGAGAGTGTATCTTCTATTTCCTACTAGGATTCTGATACAAATGCTTAACATTTTTAATTTCTAAAAACAATATGAATGTTTACTGACCACTAGGAGATGTACGGATGAGGCTATAAAAGAGTATTACTACAGAGGGAATATTAGAACAAAAAAGAATAGTCTGTGCCTAGGAACATATGGCTTAAACAAATAGCCTGTTCTCTTCCCCTATGACACGGCACTTTCCACATTCAATAACTATCTTTCTGATCTTTGCATAACAGCCAGTGAGAATATCAGCACATTTATGTTTCTTAATCTCGGGTTGACAATAAAGTGTAAGCTATTTTATGGAATATGTAAGGGTTTCTTAAACAGGACACAAAAACACTATTCTTAAAAGAAAAAAATCGTAACAAATTCTACTTCATCAAAATTAAAACCTATTTAAGAGATATCTTTAAGGAAAGGAAAAGGTAATTCAAAGACTAGGAGAAGATATCTTTAATATATATATCTAACAAAGGACTCATACTCAGCATATATAAACTACAAAAAGAAAAGGATAAAACCTCCCTTTAAAATGGGGGGAGGAATCTTACATGGCACTTCAAAAAAGAAAATATCCAAATGGTTAATAAGTGAAAATGTGCTCAACATCATTACTCCAAAAAGCAAAATAAAAACCCACGATTGTATAACTACACACATTACAAAAGGTAAAATTAAAAACACAGACAACATCAGTTGTAAGGACAGGTAACAAATCAAACTCCTATACATGGTGGGAGTTTAAAAGGCTACAGCTCCCCTAGCAAACTGACAGTTTCTTCTAACTGAACACTTGGCTACCCTAATGAATTCTTTCAAGTTTATACCCCAGGGAAATGAAGACATGACTATCAGAAGATGTGCACAAGAACATTCACAGACTTTTCATAGTCATAATAACCCCTACCGGAAATTGTAACAGGACAGAGAGAATTTACTACGTATATACTCAGTCCTTGCCCTGTGGCCCTATTTTTAAGTTCCATGATGCTCTAAATCTTAGTTCTTTGTTCTTTCTGTCTTTGGTAAAGTACCATTCTCTTTTACCTCCACCACCTACCCAATCTGTCACAGAAGACCTCTTGATGCCTCTTTAGACCTCTTTAATGTCTCCTCACTAGTTTTTCCCCTGCCAAATGATTCTGTGACAAACCTCCACCCTTCATAGATTTTCATTTTAGGAAGACTTGTATGACATCAGGTAGGGAACACACAATGCTGGTCTACCTATCCATTTTGCCTGCCTGTCACTTGAACTCTGTATTAAATCTCCTCAACTCTTAAACCAACAAGCAAAAATCATTTGTCCTATTTTCAACTCCAGGTTACACTGACACAAGCTCTTCCAAGTCCAAAGGCCATAAAGAATTGCCCTTTCTCAATTTAATGTTCACTTTTTAGAGATTTTGCCTTTAGGTTATCTCTACCCCCACATCCATATGGGACTCGAACCCATACTTCCAGATCAAGAGCCACAATCTCCACCCACAGAGCCAGCCAGGCACCTCTCCCCTTTCTCTTTTAGATCAAATCACTAGGGTCTGTGTTCTGTAAAATAGATGATTCCAAATTACTGTTTTCTATGAATGGCTTTTCGAACAATGTTCTATATCATCTAAAAGAAAATCATCTGGGAGTATGGTATCTGGAGGAAGATAAGATTTACACAAAGATAAAATCCTCTATTGCCTCCCTTTCAGAGATCAGTAATGGTTGCACAATCTGAAGGATCTTAAAAAGCAAAGAGAAGAAGCCTTTTCAAGCCTATAAAAAGCCCCCAGGAGCCAAAGACCAAACTTTTACACCTCAGACAAAGTACAGGTCCCGTAACACATGGGGTATGAGCAATTTCAACTGGTAGGAAAAAAACCGGCCGTTGGACAACATGAATGTCTCCATAAACCACAGTGACAGCCATATTTTGTCCTTATACTTTAAAACTTCTCTAAGTTCCCCCAACTGCCCTCCCCGATTTTCTAGGATGTCTTAGTCCATTTGGGTTGCTGTAACAATCTACAATAGACTGGGTGGCTAACAACAAACATTTATTTCTCACAGTTCTAGAGTCTGAAAACCCAAGCACAAGCTGGCAGATTCAGTGCCTGGTGAAAGCTTGCTTCCTGGTTCATAGATCACCTCTTTGCTCTGTCCTCACACAACAGACGGTGCTGGGAAGCATCTGACCTCTTTTAAAAAGAGCACTAATTCTGGGGTGCCTGGGTGGCTCATTAGCACCTGAGTCGTGATCCCAGGACTGTGAGTTCAAGCCTCAACACTGGGCTCCACACTGGGCATGGAAACTACTTATAAGAAAAAAAAAAAAAAAAAAAGGCACTAATTCCATTGTTGAGGGCTCCATCCTCATGAACTAATCACTTCTCAAATACCATCACATTGGTTAGGATTTCAACATACAGATGAGGGGGGACACATATTCAGTCTGTAGTGCTGGGAATACTAGAAAATCTTTAATCAATGTAAATGAAGCCCTCAGTACATTCAAGGATCTGTGCTATCAGGATACCCTTGGCTGTCCTATCTAAAATACATGAACCAAGATTCATGTTCAGAAAGCCTATTGGCTGAAATTAACCTGTCCACTTTCAAACCCTTAACTTTTGAAGAACTGAAAATAGATCAAAATAGAATAATTCACTCTCCTCAGAGCAAGCCCATAGTATAAAAGTCAAGTAGTAGATAAAAATCTAATAAACAGAATCTTGGAGACTGAGTTCTTTGAGGTTTTTGGTTTTTTTTTTATCATCCTCAACATATTTTTATTTTCCAAATGAATTACTAAGACAGTAGACACTATTTGACTGCCCCTGGTCATCTCCACTGCTTACTGACAAAGTCTAAAACTACTTAGCCAAGCCCCTACAATCTGTACAAGTCCTATAGTTTCTCCTCTTGTCTCCTTCATATACCTTTAACATTCCAACTATTCTCTGTACCTGATCTATGTCACCATTTCCCTCATGAATGGCCTATCCTTCTAATTCTGATTAAGTCTTAACCATTTTTCAAGGTCAAGCTCTAGCTCCTCACTGAAGCAAGCCTTCCATAAATCCTGAATCTGAAGTGATCTCAACCTCTCCTGACTTTCTTTGAACCTTTGTAGAACTTCCTGTTTTACTATTATAGTTGCTAGGTTTTTCATCCATACAACTTATTATTTGTTCATTCATTTACCAAGTCCTTAAATCCTTATATGAACCAGGTTATGGGAATATAAATTAAAAAAAAAACAGAATCAAAAAACTTTTTTTTTTGTTAAGATTTATTTCAGAGAGAGAGAGAGAAGAGAGGAAGACTGAGAGCAGGGGGAGGGACAGAGGGAGAGAATCTCAAGCAGAAACCCCCCTGAGCACCAAACCCATTGCAGGAGCTTGATCTCAAGATCCTGAGATCCTGACCTGAGCTAAAATCAAGAGTTGGATGCTTAACCAACTACACCACCCAGGCGCCTCCCACAACTTGTTTTTTTTAAGGGCAATGTTAAGAAAGTGAAAGGAGCAATCACAGCTAGGAGAAAATATCTGTAGTGCATATATAATAATAAAAACTTGTGTCTTAGAACTTGTAAATACAACTCTTATTTTTTCAGGTTTTTAAATTCTAGTTAGTTAACATACGGTAAAATTGGTTTCAGGTACAGAATTTAGTGATTCATCAATTATATATAACATCCAGTGCTTGTTACAAATGTGCTCCTTATTACCCATTCATTTAGTCCATCCCCCAGCCACCTCCTTCCATCAATCCTCACTCTGTTTGTCCTCTATAGCTGAGTCTATGATTTGCTTCCCTTTTTTTTTAATTCCCCTATGTTCATGTTTTATTTCTTAAATTCCACATGAATGAAATCATATGGTTGTCTTTCTCTAATTTGGCTATAATACACTCTAGCTCTATCCCCATCATTGCAAAGAATTTGTAAAGAATTCCTAAATCTCAATCAGCAAAAACAAACCAACTTAAAAATGAGCAAAAGATTTAAATGGACCTTTCATCGAAGAAGATATGATTGGCAAATAAACACATGAAAACATGCTCAACACAATCAGACATTTAAAAACCCAAATAAAGGGGTGCCCGGGTAGCACAATCAGTTTAGCGACTGCCTTAGGCTCAAGTCATGATCCCAGGGTCCTGGGATCAAGCCCTGCATTGGGCTCCCTGCTCAGTGAGGAGCCTGCTTCTCCCTTTCTCACTTCCCCTGCTTGTACACTTGTGCACACTCTCTCTGTCAGATAAATAAAAATTTTAAAAACGCAAGTAAAAACTAAGATACTATTACACATCCATCAAAGAGGCAAAATACAATAAAAAAGAAACGAAACCTGGCAATACTAAGTACTACCAAGAATATAGAGTATTGCTGGTGAGAATACAAAGTGGTATAAACATGTCAGAAAACAGTTTTAACTCAAGAGTAATGAAAGTGTATGTCCACACAAAAATGTGTATGAGACTGTTTCTAGAAGCTTTATTCTTAACCGCTAAAATCTGAAAACAAACCAAATGTTCATAAACTAGTGAATGGATAACAAACTATGGTAGATCCATATGGGGAAACACAACTCAGTACAGATAAGGAACAAACTAAAAATATACTTAACAATAGTATCTCAAAAAGATAAGTATCTCAAAAATCATGATTTTTATGCTAAGTGAAAAAAGTCAGACAGCAAAGGCTACACACTATGTGCTACTGTAGGACAACTGGGAAAGCCAAAACCACAACGGCAGGGAACAATTTTTTTAATGAAAGGAGATTTTCTTTAAAAAAACTGCAAAAGCAATTCTTAAAAATTGCAGACATTTATACAGTTCTTCACCGTGATGATCCTCACAACATCATGTAAAGTGGATACTAGTCATATATCCACTTTGTAGACAAGAAAATAAGAGTTTCAGAGACATCAAATTTACTCAAAGCAACAACATGAATCTCCATTCACTTACATTTATACCTTGTTTTTTTTTTTTTGCTTCAGTTTCCTGCTGGCTCCCCCCACCGCCCCCCTACACTGGAAACATAATTATTGTCAACCTCAGATTTCTAATACTTGGTTCAGGTCTCTGCTAGGGAGGTTATAAAATGACTATGTAATTAATAATTCAGATCACATATAAGAAATGAGAAAGTCTTATTAATTTTTAATGTTTACATTGTTTCACACAGTTTGGGATACAGTGGGCCATTCAACTATTTGTAAATGAACAAAGAATTATTTGCCATTTTCTCATAGGAAAGATGGCAGTGAATCAAAAAAAAAAAAAAAAAAGAAAAAAAAGCACACGTTCCAAAGATAATTGTTATCTCACTTAGAGACACATTACTTCACTCGCATATACACAGCAGAGTAAGTAGGGTATGCCTAAGAAGCCATGGCTTTTGGGAGTCAAAATTGCTAGTGGATGAGTTACCTGAGCTTCAACATCGACATCGCAAAGAAGAAAATAATAGTTATCCCTCTTTTTTCATAAGTAACAGGATCAACGAGATTAAGGGTCCGAAAAAGGGGATCCCCAGGTGGCTCTGCGCCTCCTTCAGCCCAGGGCGTGACCCTGGAGACCTGGGATGGGGCCTGCTTCTCCCTCTGTGTCTCTGCCTCTCTCTCTGCGGCTCTCATGAAAAAATAAAATATTTTTAAAAAAGTCCTCTGCAAGTGGTTTATTCAATATACAATTATCACTAGAACATTTAGGCGTTGTTATCATTCATACCAAGCTATTCAAAGTAAGACGGAACACTTTCTTAAAACCTTTATCCACAAGGAAAGAGATTTGGAGATCTCCTTTTCACTGATGATCAATGTTTTATGGTAATGTCTATTTATGTTCTACTGCTAATAAGGAATCTCCGAAGACAAGAGTTGTACACTGTGGGGATCCCTGGGTGGCTGAGCGGTTTTGTGCCGCCTTAGGCCCAGGGCGTGACCCTGGGGTCCTGGGATCGAGTCCCACATGGGGCTCCCTGCATGGAGCCTGCTTCTCCCTCTGCCTGTGTCTCTCATGAATAAATAAATAAAATCTTTAAAAAAAAAAGCTGTACACTGAATAACGAGTTTCCCGTCTAGTAGGGTCCCCAGGCTTAAGTACAACAGGAGAAATCAGTTCACAAACAGGAGAGCCACCTACACAGGTTAAAGTAGGCCGCTAATACTAGGCCTTTATATGCAGGAATACTGTGAAGACCAGCAGGTGTTTTTTGGGGTTTTTTTTTGTTTTCCTTTTTCAAAGCACACCCACCACTTGATCCCTAAAAACCTTTTGAGTAGTTAATGCGATAAGACACGACTTCATGCTGTGGTAGTATCAGAACAAACATCAATGTCTTCCTACATCCAAACACTGAACCAAAGTATCCTGGACAGCGGAGGTAAGTCGCTCAAGTCACACAAAAAAACGAAGATCAAGCCTTCCTTCAACATGCTCTTATTTTTAAGTTTGTGTTAAAACGGGTACTTGTGTGTTATGACATATAGGGGATGAGAAAAAGGGGGTGGGGTGAAGGTGGCAGATGGCACGTCCTCATTTAGCCAGCCAGGGGGCGGCCAGGGTCGAATGTGGAGGAGGTGTGACCCCACGTCACACACGGCAGTCAGTACCTAAGGGGACACTGATCACTCAGCTCCGCGCCTCGGGTCTCGCATGCGCCAGGAGGGGAGGCGGGGATGCATCGCTTCGCGGGAGGGGCGCGCCGGGCAAAACCCCTGCAAGCCCCACCACCCGGGTCTCCAGAAGGTCGTGACCCGACCCGTGTCCCCTCTTAAGTGGAAGACTCAAAAATCCGCAACAGCTCGACAAACGGATTTAACTCGTCGTCAGACTTTTCGCTTCTGAATTAGCCTACTCCCGTCTCTGAAAAATAAAAAAATAAAAATAAATAAAAAAAAAAGAGCATAAACTGTACGCAAGGCCCCCGAGGCCTGCGAAGCCTCAACCGACGGCCCCGACGCTCCTCCTCAACCTGCAGATGCCACCAACGACGATGCCTCCCCGGCCGCACGTGATAAAACGCATTTCCACCTGAAAAAAAATCAACTTCTCGGGCAGCCCGGGTGGCTCAAAGGATAAGCAGTGCCTGCCTTCGACCCAGGGCGTGACCCCAGAAACCTGGGATCGAGTCCCACCTGGCTCCCTGCATGGAACCTTCCTCTCTCATGAATTAAAAAAAAAAAAAAAAAAAAAAAAAAATCTTTAAAAAAGAAAGGAATTCTGACTCCTAAATCTCAGGATAGGGCAGCCCTGGTGGCTCAGCGGTTTAGCGCCGCCTGCAGCCCAGGGCGTGACCCCGGAGACCCGGGATCGAGTCCCTAAATCGGGCTCCCTGTATGGAGCCTGCTTCTCCCTCTGCCTATATCTCTGCCTCTCTCTCTCTTTCATGAATAAATAAAATCTTAAAAAAAAAAGAATTGATTTGGGGGGCAGCCCGGGTGGCTCAGCAGCCCAGGGCGTGACCTGACCCCGGAGACCCGGGATCGAGTCCTACGTCGGGCTCCCTGCATGGAGCCTGCTTCTTTCTCCCTCTGCCTGTGTGTGTCTCTCTGTGTCTCTCGTGGATAAATAAAATCTTTAAAAAAGAAACTGACTTCTAAATCTCAGGACAGGGCAGCCCGGGTGGCTCAGCAGCCCAGGGCACGACCCCGGAGACCCGGGATCGAGTCCCACGTCGGGCTCCGTGCATGGAGCCTGCTCCTCCACTTCTCTCTCTCTCTCATGAATAAATAAAATGTTAAAAAAAAAATTTTTTTTTTAAACCCACAAAAATTACTTCTCTGCTTTGACTCAGAAAAGCTCATGGAAGGAAACCCCACGTGGAGGTAGCATTTTTTTCCCCCGTTTCCTTTAAAAACGACGGGGCCAGATACTCCCTTGGGTTCGCCCGTCTCCCCCACATAGGAGACTTTTAATTTGGGGCAAAAGGGTGACACTTCAGATCAAAGGGCAGCTACGCTAAGGAGGGTGGGGGCGGGTGGGGCTGCCTCCGCGTCGGCCGAGGGCGGCGGTCAACTTTCCTCAGCCTGCCCGCGGCCGAGTCCGGCCGCTCCTTTCCCGGGGACTTCTAACGGCTCGTCGGTCCACGTCGGAGGGCGCTGACGCAGCCACGCTCGGCACGACCACCGCCGGGGAGACGCCGGGGCCGCCGCCCGCGCCCGACCGCGGGGCTCGCCCCTTCCCGCCCGGCGGCCGCGGGAGCCGCCGCCACGCCCGCCCACGGCCCGCCCGCCGCTAGAGCGCCTGCGCACTGTCCACGGTCAGCGAAACCCGTCCTCAAAACTAGTCGATGCAAATCATTTTGAAATTCCTGTCAGGTGACGCCTCACTTTAACGTGATAATAATAAAGATTAAAAAAAAAAAGTCAGCCGCTACAACAAAGCACAGGGGAGCGACCACTCACCGAAAGTGGTCCTAAACGCAAACGACAGCCTTTAAGCGTCCTCTCGCGACTTATCTGGTGCTGCCGGAAGCGGAAGTGCCGGCGTCTTGAAGCGTGGGGCGCCTTTATAAGGTGGGGCGGGGTGGAGGGGCCGTGCGGCGCCGTTGGGCCCTCGCCGGAAATGGTTCCGCCCGGTGGGGTTTGTGTGTGAGACCCGGGCGGGCGGGGGAAGAGGCGTGACGGCGGCGAGGGAGGCGCTCCCGCGGGCTCGGCGGCCGCTCGGCGTGGCCCTTCCTCGGCTTCTGGAGGCGGCGGGGCGGGGGGCGGGGGGCGGCTCCGTGGAGCGGGACGGCCGCAGTCTTCAGGAACGCTTCCGTCCCTCTCGGCCAGCCGAGGGGAGCCGAAGGCCGCACGGGCTCGGCGGCTGCAGCGGCAGCAGGTGAGCTCGGAGCCCCGGGACGCACCGGAGCAGCTGCCGGAGCGCGGGGCCGCCGTGTCCTCGGGGCTGCGCGGAGCCCGGACGGCCGAGCCTCGGGGCGGGGGGGCGGGGCGCTGACCGCCGGCCCCAGGGCCTCCGCGACCGCTCCCCCTCCATCCTCCCCCCTCCTCCTCCCTTCACCTCCCCTCCTCCCCTTCCTTCTCCTCCCTCTCCTCCTCTCTCCACCTCTTCCTCCTCCCTCCTCCTCCTCCTCCCTCCCTCCTCTCCTCCTCCTCCTCCTCCTCCCTCTTCCCTCCTCTTCCCTCTCCCTCTTCCTTCCTCTTCCTCCTCCTCCCTCTCCTCCCGCTTTCCTCCTCCCCTACTCCTCTCTTCTCTCTTCCTCTCCTCCTTCCTCTTCCCTCCTCCTCCCCTTCCTCCTCCTCCCTCCTCCCCTTCCTCCTCCTCCCTCCTCCCCCTCCTCCTCCTCCTCCCTCTCCTCCTCCCTCCTTCTCTTCCTCCTCCCTCCACCTCATCCTCCTCCCTCCTCCTCCTCCTTCCTCCTCCTCTTCCCCCTCCTCCCTCTTCCCTCTCTTCCCTCTCTTCCTTCCTCTTCCTCCTACTCCTCTCTTCTCTCTTCCCTCCTCCTCCTCTCTCTTCCCTCCTCCTCCCTCCTCCTCATCCTCCTCTCCCTCCTCCCTCTTCCTCCCCTCCTCCCTCCTCCTCCCCCTCCTCCCTCTTCTCCTCTTCCCCCTTCTCCCTCCTCCCTCCTCTCTCCTCCCTCTTCCCTCCTCCTTCCTCCTCTCCCTCCTCCTCCCCCCTTCCCCCCTCTTCCCCCCTCTTCCCCCTCTTCCCCTCCTCCTCCTCTCCTCCTCATCTTCTCTCCCTCCTCCTCTTCCTCCTCCTGCCCCTCCTCATCCTCCTCTCCCTCCTCCCACTTCCCTCCTCCTCCCTCTTCTCTCTTCTCTCCTCCTTCTTCCCTCCTCCTTCCTCCTCTCCCTCCTCCCCCTCCTCTCTCTTCCCTCCTCCTCCCCCTCCTCTCTCTTCCCTCCTCCTCCCTCCTCCTCCCTCCTCATCTTCCTCTCCCTCCTCCCTCTTCCCTCCTCTTCCTCCTCCTGCCCCTCCTCCCTCCTCATCCTCCTCCTCTCCCTCCTCCCCACACTTCCCTCCTCCTCCCTCTTCCCTTCTCCCTTTCCTTCATCCTCCTCCCCTCCCCTCCTCTCTCTTCCTCCCCTTGTCCCTCTCGTCCCCCTCCCCCTCGGGTGTGAAGGACCCACAGAAGCTCGGGGACTGCCTGCCCCGGGAGGAGGACCGCGGGTGGGCGCCCCTGGAGCCTGTCTTCTGGGACGTGGCGACCTTCGCACTCCTGTGGGTAATGCTTGTGTTGCCCTGGGGCGCTGGAAGGCCTGGTGGGGGAAGCAGGAAGGCGTGGCTGGCATCCTTGCTCCGCATCTGCTTTTGCTCTTGAAAATTCTTCAGTGAAAAGCACACTTTTTGTTTCAGGCAGGTTGAACTCTTTTTTTTAACGTTTTATTTATTGAAGAGAGACCCAGAGAGAGAGAGGCACAGACAGAGGGAGACGCAGGCTCCCTGCAGGGAGGATGCAGGACTCGACCCGGATCCCCGGGGTCACGCCCTGAGCCCAAGGCAGATGCTCACCAGCTGAGCCCCGCCCCCACCTAAACCCCCCCAACCCCCCCCCCCCCCCCCCCCCCCCCCCCGCGCCCCAGGCCGATTGAATATTAAAAATAACTGGCGTTGGGATCCCTGGGTGGCGCAGCGGTTTGGCGCCTGCCTTTGGCCCAGGGCGTGATCCTGGAGACCCAGGATCGAATCCCACATCGGGCTCCCGGTGCATGGAGCCTGCTTCTCCCTCTGCCTGTATCTCTGCCTCTCTCTCTCTGTGTGTGTGACTATCATAAAATAAATAAAAAAATAAATATAAGTGGCAAGTGCTTTACATATTTTCTCCTATATGTGTTTCCTATAACAGTCCCACAAGGGACTATTATGATTAAATTATGATTAGTTTAAATTATTGTTAAATTATAATTAAATTATGGTTATTTTCAAAGAAGTAGGTCCTGAGGCTTAGGCCACATAACTCGTCCTGAGCTTTTTTTTTTTAAACTGGTAAACATGTGAGCCTGGATTAGAAACCACATTTTTCAGATTCCAGAATCTGTGTTCTTAACTGCTGTACTATTGTCTTTCCATTGATGCTTCGTTGCTTTCAGTTTCTTCGCTAACATTTTTCTGTGGTTGCACGTATTCATTAAAAAAAAAAAATTCAGTATTCCTGTGTATGGGTCTGATGAAATGATGTCTGTCCTGGAGCTTTCCTGTCGTGGCGCAGAATCAAATAGTTCAGAAACCAGAATACTGACAGCTGGCGTGGTTTGGTTTAAAGCAGGTGATGAAACTGATGTGACGAAGATGTCAAAGTTGCACAGCAAATATCGCTCTTTTAAGTCTTCAACTCGTGCCTTTCGTGGTAGCTGGGAGGATGTTACACTTGACGATTGGTGGGACATTTGTCGGTCACCCACGTAAGTGCTGTGCACCAACCGATCAAGTGCTGGGAATATACAGAGGAGGCCCTTGTTCTCCAAAACCCCCCAACACAACTACATATAACTAATAATAAGGAACTATTAAATTTCCTAAGTGGAAATGATAATTGGTTATATTGGAGGATGTCCTTATTTTTAGGAGATGTATGCTAGGGTATACAGAAACGAAGTATATCCATGTCTGTACCTTTCAAATGATAGAGCAAGATTACGTGTATACGTATGTATAAGGAGGAAGTAAATACAGCAAAACGTTAGCCATTGTTGAGGCTAGTGGTGGATGTGTGAGTGCATATGTATGGTGAGCGATTCTTTCAGCTTCTTTGAGTATCTGAAATCTTTCGCAATAAAAATTTGAGGAGGGGAAACCCTAACTCTAATGGAAACGGGTCACTGAAAACATATATCCCAAATGCTGTGGGTCATGGAGCGTGGGAAAGATGCTGATGTGCACGTAGGGGTTGGCAGTTGTCGGAAAAGCATTTATTGAGGACTTCGGAGTTTATGAAAGGAGAAATTGGAACTCTCAAGGACAATAGTGAATTATAAGGAGGAGGAGAAGCGGGCTCAGCAAAAAAATAGTGCATGAATGTTCAAAGAAGGAAAACATCAATTCCAGGGTTTTGTGAAACTTGGCATGGACTTTTTTGTATGAACTTATAACTTATGCTTGGCTGCCTTTGCCAGCATGCAGAAGCCTTTTTAATAATCTATTATGGAGCTATTAGTAATAGTGCCCTGGAACTGGATCAACATTGACAACAGTGTTTCCAGTGGAAAATGCTTTTAGGATTTCAGGAAAATTGGTCATGTGTCAGTTCCAGCTCATCAAGAGAGGAGGGTTTTGAATAGGACTGATGGATGACCCATGCTGTCATTTTAAGGATTGAGTAGCTTGGACCATGGTAGGTTTGTGAAGGAGAGGAGTGTTTTTACCCCAGGCAGTAGTGTTCAGGATAGTGTCAACACTATCCAGTAGTGGTAAGACTGGAAAACATGTAATGAGGTCTCCAGCAGCAGCAGCAATGGCAAAAAAGAGTTTCTATAGCACCATTACATGGGTGGTAAGTAGGCACCCTTCTAAGTTGAGTTGTTTGTATTTGCTCTGTGCCAGTTAAGTTAGGTATCTCAGTCCTAATTATAAAAGCCAACAAGATAGATGCATAGCTAACATTTACTAAATGCTTACCTTGTGCCAGTTGCTGTTGTGTCTTCATTGTCATTTCATTTTCAGAATAATTTAGGATGTTTATCCCATTTTACAGATGGTGGCATGAAGGACGCAGAACTGAGCAACTATCAGGAAAAGCTTTCTAACTCACTTTTGTCAAGGTCTAGAGCAGTGGTTCTCAATGTGTGATTGATTTCCAGAGCAGCGGCAGCAGCACGTTGGAATTTTTCGAGCATTGAATCCTCCTTTAAGACTTTCTAGTTTAGTATTTTAACAAGCCCTCCTGGTGATTCTGATGTATGAAGTTTGAGAACCACTTCTTTGAGTGTAGATGCTTTAGTAGCATGGTACTTTCCAATTTAAAAATCAGAATTGAGTAGTGTTTGTCTTTTGAACTGGTATTTCCTACTTTCATTTTTAAATCAACTGTTTAATATTTCATAACACTGTGAAATTTTAATTTGAAAGTTCCATAAAGTCAAGTCTGGCTGTGTACATGAGGGTTTTAATATTTAACGGAGCCACCAGTTAAACTAGAATTAGATCTTTAGGAATAAGAGTTTTGGTGTTATGCACTGCAGTTTTAGCTAACCTATAATCCAACTCTTAAGAATATTTGATCAAATAATTATATTACCAGTAATCAAGTTGATTGTTAGGTAGTTTCATCTTGGTAGGTAATTAGTTTTAATGTGACCAAGGAACAATAATATTCATAGCTTTGGTAAAGAATATTTTGAGATATCACTATTGTGTGAGTTCTTTTTTTTTTTTTTTTTAAAGATTTTATTTATTTACTCATTAGAGACACAGAGGCAGAGAGAGAAGCAGGCTCCATGCAGGGAGCCTGAGGTGGAACTCGATTCCAGGACTCCAGGATCAGGCCCTGGGCTGAAGGTGGTGCTAAACCACTGAGCCAACCGGGGCTGCCCTAA